ATAAAAAATGGCTAAAACTTCTACAAATCTTCTGAAAAAACGCAATTATGTCAAAAATCTCAAGTATGCTACAATTGAATGAGAATTGGGATATAAAAATTCAATGTACCTAGTTTGTAGATAAATTGTAGATTATTTGTATTCTAGTTGTAGATGCTTTGTTTTCTGTTTTCACAAATAAAAAACGACTAAAACTTCTACAAATCTTTTGCAAAAAATACAATTATGTCGAAAATCCCAATTAAACTACAATCGAATGAGAATTGGGATATTAAAATTCAATATACCCAATTTGTAGATATTTTATAGATGAATTGTAGATTATTTGTATTCTGATTGTAGATGCATTTTTACATTCCTATGCCACACAGGAATTTTTACATTCTTCAATTGTTGTCAAGAAGATATAGTTGATAATAAGGAAGTTCAGATTTTACAAAATTAATACTCTCCATCACATGGTTGTACGTAGCCCAATGGTGAGTCTTTGAGAAGAAAGCGAGACAAATGGAACAGACAGAAAGAGAAATAGCATGTCTTTTTAGAAGGAGCAGTTAAGATTGTTACAATAATATGGTTTTATCTGATCAAAGCTAGCTGATATAGGAGTTCTTAATATATATAGTAAGTGCAGGAAGGAAACATGAAGAAACCCTTCCTAAGATGTGTGCTTTAAGTTTCTGATAACCGGAGTAGATTTAATTTGTTTATGTGATTAACTGCAAAGATAGAGTTGACTGAGGCAGTTAAATTGATTGGTAAATTTTTACTTGGTAACTAAAAAAATGGATAGTTACCAAAAACAGAAGAAGAGATAATTGTTTATCTACTAAGGAAAGACAAAAAAAACATTTACTTATTCTAAAAAAATATTTTTATCTAGTTTTATCTCCTAACATCAATGTATATTTTCAAACGAGACTAAGTTTTGGATATTGGTTCAAAATAATAACGGCCAGCATAACTTAATATGTTAACAAAAACAGCTCAAGGTAAGGATGCTAGCTTTTTAGGTTAAAATGCACTATGGTATAGAATTAGTAATTTGGTATACTAAGTGTAATTAAGTCAAACCTTAAACATTAAGGGTAATAAGGTTTACTATGTGGTATAGGAATGTAAAAATTCCTTTTTTTATCCAATGACACCGGCAAGAATGATACTAAAAAAAATAGAATTATAACTAGGAGATTTGAGAAATGTTTAAACATTTTCATGTAGTGTTTCTTAATTAATATCCAATGATTATCTATATTTATCGAGAATATTTAAATTTTAAGATTTTTTACGTATAATCCAAATTACTCAAATATTTAACATGGTTAGCGTCCGCACATCTGCGCGGGTGCTAATACTAGTTTTTAGTGAACATCGTACTTGTCAACATTAAATTAACACAAGGTTATAATTCTGATCTTCAGAAACTGAAATTTTTTTGTGATCCTTTTTTCTGTTTCTTCAAGCTTTTGTTTCAGTTAGAATAAAACTCAAGCTTCCTTCTTATAAGGAATCAATTGAAATCTGGAATTGAAACTTATCCCAGACTAAACTGCAGCCAAGATATTTGACAGGGCTTTATTACTGGCGTCCCACACCGTAAGAGGGTTAGCACAGACCTAAGCAATACACAAAGCACTATATACACATTCAAATCTTTCAATTTATTATTTGATAATAGTGCCGCCCGAGCCGGCTTGGCAAACCTAGACTATTCCACCAAGTACATGTTGTCTCCCTCCCACGAGTAGATTGTAACTCTACCAACCAAGGCTTGAATAGATACGAACAGATCATCTAGCTTTCAAACATAGTACGATAGTTATAAATCAAACAAAATGAATGACATCACCTTATAAATTTGAGAAATTGAGATACTCCCTTTGCCAAGAGAATAAACTAAAGCGCTAAAGAAAAAAGACGAGATAGATTAACTGTATGATGCAGTACTCTACTGGCAAAGAATGCGAACTTGAACCAAACTTTACTATTATTTCTGGATGGTCCTCTCCAATTTAAGGTGATAGTAGCAATAACTTCAGTGATCTTTTATTTACCTACAAGTAACAGCTCTAGTTTTGAGCAACTATGAGGAACAAAATTGTGCATCACCGGCTTCCACGCGTTGCAGGAGGGAGAGGTTGAACAGCAGCTAGAGGGTTCACTTGGTACGAGAATGCAAGTTGCCAGAAGTCGACCAAAGCCTTCTTTGTAGATGAAGCTTGTCTCTTAAGAACACTAATAATAGCAAGACAGAAAAAAAAAAAAACAGTGAGACAATAGCCTTAACATCATGTTGTCGACGAACAATTTATGTCTAACATAAGCCAAGTCCAAGCATGTAATAACCTAGCATTCACAAACTTAAATTTGCCTGAAAGGATGGCAGAAAGTACCGATAAAAATGCAATATGCCCAATTGAACATCTCACACAGCATTCCAGGAATCTCAACAATTTTATTAGAGAGTTTTTGATTGATTTAGTAAACTTAAAGGCAGGTAGATGTGAGTTCTACTATGGTATCAGATTCTCATAGACCCACAGGTATAAGTAGCACTGCTAGAGAGGCGTAATCGCATCATGCTTGCACGTTTTTTGCTTGCTACTTATGTGCATATGGTGACAAAACCAGGTGATTCTTCTCCATGACCACGTGCAATATGAAGAACTAGAATGACACAGCCAACCCCATAAACCAAGAGACGTCTCTCACATGCCAAACAATGTTTTCTAACTTCTAAATCTGATTCCATTACGTGACAAGTTTGTCTTGAACATCCATTACATAAATGTTAACTCGTACATGTTTATATAGATAACCAACCTATATGCATATGCCTTTATATACAGTCTCACGTAAGTACGAAATAATCAAATAAGCATACCAGTGCCAACTGTAAGTTGAATGTGACTTTAATCCAACATCAACAATGAGCTTTAGAAGACTAAGAATAAATTTTAGTCGTTTCAAGATAATGAAGGGAATTTGATATGACCACTAGAATTAGTTAAAGTACTGTGCAAGTTAAGTGACAGGAGCAAAACATCCTTCAATGCACAAGCCGGGCAGTAGATTCACTTTATCCTATAAAATGTCCATGAGTCATGAGAGAGATTCGTAGATTATACACGATATATTGAGCTATCAGATGAAGAAAATCGTAATATGAGTAAGTGCTTCTTTATCTAGCAGAAAGCGGAGCCAGATTATATTACCTCCATAAAGAGGCTTGTTTTCTCCGCACCGTATAGTACACAAGTGCTGCCAGAAAAGCAAGAAAAATGCTTCCATTTGATAAGACCAAGCGACTGCTTCCAAACTTCAAAGTGACAGTACGGAACCACCAAAATGGAGTTCTCTGTCTCGTTAACTCCATAATTGCTTGTTTCGTGATCTCTCCTTTAGACTGGTCTTGGCGTTCCAACAATTTTGCTGTTCCATTGCATGATTTTTCTTCAATCAGGGAAGTGGAATCAGTTGGATATTCATCTACTTGGACCGATAATGCAGAGGACTGTGAAGAACTGCCAAGCTTTAAAGTGTTCATGGAGTGCAACCGCCTCAAAAGATCCTGGAATACAGAGTAAGAGATAAAAAGTTACCAAGCTATAAGTTACTCAGTTACAAACCAGCTAAACCATCAATCTCATAAAGAGAGCAAAGCAAAACACATCAAAGGTGACTCGGGCAGACTGTACAATGCACAACTGTTATAGCATATATTTTGTCCTTTCTCCTTTGACAAAGAATCAACTCACAAAAGTAGGGCCTATTAGATCATATACTCAACCATAAACCCCTAATAAACTTCAACTCATAGTACTAAGAACCTCAACAACAGATTTTTACGACAACAAAGTTTATTATGAGAATCACAACGTGATTCCAAGTGATGCTCAAAGTGAAGTGGCGGTAGACACAAAAGAAACAAAGAATTTATATGTGATCATTGTTTACTAGAATGAAGCAAGAAAACTTATTATTTACCTGCCTCTTCTCCTCAGGAAGGGAAGCTTTGTCAACCCAAGAGATAGCAAAATCCAGATTTTCCAGAATCCTCCCCAAAAAAGTTATCACATAGAGCTCAACAATTTCCAGGTACTTATCAACTCCTAGGGAAATCTGATTGCTAAATTCTTCCGAGCAAGGTACATCAGCTTCCACACTTTCTAGAGTATAATACTTCCCATCAACATATCTCCACTTCCTAAGGAATTCCTCTAGAATTTCTCGAACTTCAGAAGAAGGGACATCTGGTATCTGGAGACACACCCTGGAAGGAAGTTTTGAGTCATTTCTATATCAAAGAGCGGAATTTTTCTAAACATGTTAAGAGGAAAATGGAAGTTATGAGGAGCAAACATGCAATAATAACAGGTCCCAGAACGAGAGGGATCGTGAAATCTTTTTCATTTACTTTGGATAGATGGGATATTGGGGAGTACATTATTTAAGGTTCAGGATCTCAAAACCAAAAGAAACATGTCAAAGCAAAGAGTGCGGTTTCCATTTTTACAGGCACTCTTATACTTTGTGACATTCATACGAAATCCAATTATAGCAACTAATACGAAAAACATGAATGATAAACAGCATAAAATTGAGAACAGTTTGGATTCTAACTCCTGATTGCCAAACTTTTTTTTAATAAGAAATCATCTCATCCGACCACAAAGTTGAAATGCATCAAATTTACACCTGACTGCCCAACCTTATTAAAAGGAAAAGAAATCATCTCACTCGACAACAAAGTTGAGAAATATCAAACTCACGAGGATGACCACCCATGCTAAAGGAAGAAGTGCAATGACTACGGAAATCGCATATCCAAGAAAAGATGTACCCAGTAAGGAAAACTTGGGCAGGAATAGCTGTGACTGAACCAAATAGCACTTTCAGCTGCTTCAGTAAATCTACTGTCCTGTCAAACACAAAACCCATAGTTAGTGGAATTGAAGGACATTCGAAACATTTCTCTTATGAAACAAAGCAGCAGGATTACCACATCGAGAAACAGTTAAAGATGTGAAAGCAGTTCATGAGTCTGACTGATAATATTCGATACTTTGGCCTTTCAAAAGTATATAGACATTAGAGAAACCCTATATTGGCATTTCATAGGTACTCATTCATCCAGGCAATAGCAGAATATAGAACTCAATGTCCATCTACTAAAACAAATTTCAATATAAACTCTGTGAATTCAACTCAGCTGGAGAACCATAATTCGTTTAGTTGACAGAGTTTGTAAAAGCTAATGATGAAGCAACTTCCAACTCTAAACATTTAATTCCCCAAGCTCAACGATGTCACATCCTAACTAACACAACTAATTCATGTCGTCTTTGACACTAAAACTCAAGCCAAAGTTATACTTAAAAATCTTAAACAAGTCTTAATTATCCGATATTACAGTAATAGAATAACAACAAGCAGCTACTCGCAGGGATTTGGTCTAGTGATAAGAGCGCACACAGCTTGTGATGTGTGGGTTAGAAGAATATCATGGGTTTGAACCTTGTCGCAGAAAAGCCTGTTATTTGAAGTGGTGACAAAAACTTGGTAATTATGCGGAGAATTGTAGAGTGGCGGGCTCCTTATCAACAGAGTTCAACCGTGCGCCACTGGCTCTCGGTTATTAAAAAAACAACAACAACAGCTGATATAAGAATGAAAATGGCATAAACGAGTACCTTCCCAACTCTTTGGAGGACTGCACCAAAACCATGCCAGCCGATTCCAGCATCTCACTTAATTCGGAGTTGTCTTCAACAAATTCACTAGTTTTACCCCTTCTCTCAACCAATCGCTCTATAATTGAGGAAGACAAAGATTCTGCTTCTTGGAACATACAACACATCATATATCTGCAAATTTTTAGAATTTTCTTTTAAAAGTAAAACCGAACTCAGCATGAGAATTGAAAAAAACAATTTTAACAGACACCCGAAATACCAAATTGCTGCTTAGTGAATTAAGAATAAATTTTTCTAGTGATAATATAATAAAAAAAGAGATTTTGCTCGATAATAAGCCAAAAAATAAAACAAAAAAAGAGAGATAAAGAATAGAAAAAGGGTACCTTTCTGAAAGTTCAATCTGTTCCCAAGCCGGAGAAGCTGCAGCGTCCATGGCCATCACTCTTTCTTCTCTTGGCTTAGATTCGGTGTGTTTGCAAATTGTTTGTGACACATACTACGAGAGAAACGAACTTTCCTGTTAGAGCAAATTGAATGTGTTTTTAGAAAAATGTTATTTTGTGTGTGACAACTTTTGTCTCACCATTTTTTGGACCCATATTTCTGTGGACCAAAAAATGTAAGATTGAGATCCACAAATTTGTAAGATAAAAAGAAGCCTTATACAACTAATGTAAGTTGTATGAGACACAAAATAAAATTTCGTGAAAAAAAGTACTAGTAACTCATGCCATATGTGCACACAATAAGAGAAAGAATAAAACACAAATAGAAAGTACTAGACAAAATAAGAGAGGATTCATATTAATAATTTTTGAATATGCCTCTTCGGGGCAGCATTAGACTTGATCACATGAGCAGCAGTAGTAGTACATACCAAACACACAAAAAAAAAAAAAACCAACCATCAACAAGGAACAAAAAAAAAACATATCCAGAAAACTGGTCACTGAAGGGAATCTTAGGGGGCACTAGGAGAAAAAGGCTTAGAAGCTGCAGCAAGTGTCTGGAAAATATGGTCTATTCGGGCATTTCCCGACTTTTGCTCGTTGAGTAGTTCAACCTTTAGGTTCTGAACTTGCACCCTGAGGTCAGCATTTTCTTGGGTCAAGCGAATCACCTCATCATTCGATATGGGAACCGCTCGAGCTTCCTGGCCTTCCAGGATAACGTTTCTGGCCTTCAATCGACGTATTTCCTCAGCTGCACTATTCTGGGCATTGATGAGCTGAGACACAGTTGAAGTGCTTCCTACACCCCCATACTTCTCAATGCACTCGCACTCTTCCAAGATTATCTGTGAGAATGTCTGCTTATGGGTCCCTACTTTACCTATTCCCAAAGGAACCTCAAAGTGTTTGAACACGTACGTGAGCAAGAATCCATAGGGAAACCCGTGATTGCCATCCTTGAAATCAGCCACTTTCTGCATGTGCTCAATCATTATGGCAGGCAGACTCACGTGGTTGGAACCGTCCAATTGCTCCATTAAGAATATATCAGATTTTGAAATTACAGATCTCCTCTCTGCTCGAGGCAACATGACTTTGTTAACCAGCTCAAACAAAAACTGGTAGACAAGAAGTAGTGCTTTCTTATGGATCTGGTCCCCTTTCTGATTGGAATTATCTTTCACCACCGCATTTCGAAAGTTGTACTGGCAAACATCTCGAACACTCGTCATTCCAACTGTAGGAACTTGCAAAATTTCTCCAAGCACTTGCACGCCAAAGACAATGTCCACACCATTGACCAAAGCACAAACATGGTCAGTATCGACTGGAAACAGACTGGCGAAGAAACTCTGGACCTCCTCCTCATACACTTTAGGAGCATCAACGTAGAAAAGATACGTCCACTATTGAAACTCCACCATTTCTAGGATTTGGTGCATTCCGACCATTTATGAGATTGTTGGGTCAAACTCACGACCAACAGAACTTTCTGATGCCGTAAACGCTCAGAGCCCAAGCAGACCTCACTCCGTGCTTTCTTTCCAAGAGTAGGTTCTTCAACTGTTTCATACTTGCGTTTCCTATGCTTTTATCTACTAACTTTACCTTTCCCTTTGGACCTGACAAGAATATCCTCATCACTTACTACCTTTTTTATCTTAGACTTAGAAGTAGACCCTTTCTCTAGGGAAACTGACTCAGCCTTTTTCGAGGACCGCCTTACAAGGGAACAGGGTTCCTTAGGAGTTCCTTCTTCCACCTCAACGATAGGGATAACTTCATCACCTATAGGTACACCATCCTTCCCCAACTTTCTTCTTTTCTTTTTACTACTTTTCTTGCTCTTTTGGAGTGCATAATTGTAGGCCACTTTGACTTGAAGCCTGGTGGTTGGGCGCTTGATTTCAGACTCAGGAGTGGAAACAACCCTTTGCTTACTTATGAATGCGTCAAGGGCCACGCTTTCCAGGTCTTCTTCATCACTAGATTGCATCTCTGGTCCTTGAATTTCCAGGGGCACAACATCGAATGCAGGAACAACACTGTCCTGGGGATGAGACTCCTGGCCTGGGTCCTTCTAAGAGGGATCAGGTTCCCCATGTGAAGCCCCAGTAGTGTATGCTACTGCATATCCTTCAAATTCCATAATGGCCCATTCTTCCCTTACACTTTGTGACACGTGTTTCTAGGAAATGACCTTATGCAATACCCCATCAGCGGATACCACAAACACCATCTTTTCTTCCTCAACCAGTGCTTCCACAACCATGGAGTCGACAGCAATAATGGCGGAGCCTTTTGTGAACTCAGTATTGTGACCTTATTCTCCACTTAAGATTTGACTGGTGTGGGCAACAGACGATGGAGAGAATGAAACAGTAGTTTCAAGGGTTTTTGAGTTGGAAGGAGGTTGGAAAACTAGGGAAGGTGTGACTGTAGCAGTAGGAGTGATAGATGGTGAAAAGGACTCAGAGACGTCGAGAGGTTCCATAGACGGGTTAGAGGTAGTTATAGATGATGCAGAAAGATCGGAACTTTTCTAAGCCACTGCGAGAGGTGGTGTGATGATCCTTTATTTTTTGGGTGAATTTAGAATAGGGATTATGGTTAATAAGGGAAGGAAATAGGGGTTTTTAAACAGAGAGGGTAATTATAAAGGGAGAAGAATAGGCACCGGTTCTGAAACGACGGTTGTGCGTGGAGAATTGTGATGTTTCAGAGGGAGATGGAACATTTGAATTGAAGGGACGTGATAGCCAGATATGAAAAGTTGATGCTATGTCAGTTGTATTTTGTTCCTTTTAAGTCGTGTATTAAAAGATGCACAGAACTACTAACCTTTAGTACAAGAACCTGGTTCTTGAGAAACATTTTCTTCAAGCTCCCCCCTTTTTGAAAAAAAAAGTAATCCTCTTTTATCGGTCATGTACTGCATCTACTGCTTCTATGCTTAACATGCGTGTCTACCTGCAACGGTATTTGAAGTGAGTTAGACAAGGACAAAAAACACTTTGAGCTAATTAATTCTTAAAAATACAAGCCAACTAAAGAGGAATCAGGTTCTCAATTTGGCTTCAACAGTCCCATCTTTACTCTGTTTCTTTCAAATTGTTCCTACTTAGTGCCTTAGTAAAAATGTCTGCAATTCGATCTTCTATGCTGTAGAACTTCATGCATATCAACCATTTCTCCACATTATCTCTCAGAAAATGATACCTCACATCAATATGTTTGATCATTTTATGTTGAACTGGATTCTTTGCCATATTGAGTGCACTGGTGTTGTCTCACATAGGAGAGGTACACTCTCAGTGAGAACTCCAAAATCCTCTAGCTGCTGCTTGATCCACAGAAGCTGAGCACAACAGGATGCTGCAGCTACATATTCAGCTTCAGCTGTTGAAAGAGCCACTGAATTTTGCTTCCTTGTACCCCAAAAGATAAAACATGATCCTAAGAAGTGATCCATCCCAGATGTACTTTTTTTGTCCATAAGATAACTTGCATAGTCTTCATCAACATACCTAACCAGATTAAAAATGTCACCTGATAGATAATATAGCACCAGGTCCTGCATCCTTTGATATATCTCAGTATTCTTTTGGCAGCCTTCAAGTGAGATTCTTTGGAATTTGATTGAAACCTCGCACACAACCCCACACTGAAAACAATGTCAGGACGACTAGAAGTGAGATAGAGAAGAGACCCAATGATGCCTCTATACATTGTTTGATTCACAAGAGATCTAGTTTCATGCATGTCTAGTCGGGTGACAGTTGCAATGGGAGTGTCTATCACTTTTGATTCTTCCATGTCAAACCTCTTCAAGAGTTCCCTGATGTATTTTTGCTGGCAAATGGAAGTACCATTTGGAGACTGTTTTACTTGAAGACCCATGAAGAAGTTTAATTCACCCATCATACTCATTTCAAATTCACTTCCCATAAGTTTTGCAAATTCTTCACATAGAGTGTCAGTTGTTGCTCCAAAAATGATATCATCAACATAAACCTAAACAATGAGCAGGTTCCTTCCTCGTTTCTATAAGAACAGAGTGTTGTCAATTTTTCCTCTCTTGAAGCTATTTTCTAAGAGAAATTTTGACAATCTTTCATACCCCGCTTGAGGAGCCTACTTTAGCCCATACAAAACTTTGTCCAATTTGAACACATATTCAGGGTGCTCATGACATTCAAACCCTGGGGGTTGCTTCACATAGACTTCTTCTTTAAGCATTCCATTCAAAAATGCACTTTTGACATCCATTTGGAACAAAGTGAATTCCATATGAGAAGCGAGGCAATCAAAATTCAGATGGCTTCCATGCGGGCCACTAGAGCAAATGTTTCATAATAGTCAATCCCTTCCTCCTGATATAGCCTTGGACCACTAGCCTGGCCTTGTTCCTTATGGTAATTCCATGTTCATCGAGCTTGTTTCTGAATACCCATCTGGTGCCTATAATGGTTCTATCTGGAGATCTAGGTACCCGGTACCAAACACTGTTTCTCTCAAACTGATATAGCTCGTTTTGCATGGTTGTAATCTAATCTGCATCTTTTAAGGCTTCCTTGATGTTCTTGGGTTCTATCTGGGAGAGAAAGGCTGAGAAGGCAAGTGAATTTCTAGCTCTTGACCTGGTTTGAACTCCAGAATCTAGAGGAGTGATTATGTTATCTATAGGGTGAGAACTTTGATGTCTCCAGTTAGATGTCTGGGGTTCATTCTGAGAGGAAGACGGTATGTTTGGCTGATTCTCCTCTATCCTTCTCTCAGATGCCAATGGAGTTCCCTGAATTGCATCAACCAATCTTTCTTCAGCTTTAGTGATTGTAATTGAAGTGCTTGGTTCTATTGATGATGAGGCCGCGTTATCTTTATTTGGCTCCTTCACTTGACTCATCAAGTCTGTCTTTCCATTTGTCATATTGATGACTTCACCAGGAACAAGTAAGAGTTCTCCATCTTGATCTTCCTCAGCACTCTTCTCAAATGATGGATGAGATTCATCAAAAATAACATGGACACTTTCTTCAAGACATTGAGTTCCCTTGTTATAAATCTTGTAAGCCTTGCTTTGAGAAGGGTAGCCAA